TCAAATCCTGGAAGGATCTCACTCACAACAAAAATTGGGAGTTTCCTCTTTGCTGCTATAGGGCTGATTTGAGGAGTAGAATATCACTTCCTCCAAGGGGCTTTGGGACATAAATCTCGTGAGTATGCATGGCCATAGAACATTCTGGAACATTAGCAGCATGGGAGAAAAACATGCATGTCCAGGGCTCGAGGACTCCAGTGGCCTAATGGACAGTATCCAGGAGGCTGAGCTGGTTGAGGCCAGTACTGATGACCCCAGAGGTCCAGCTGGGGCACAGGCCCCAGGAGCAGGCCCCTCCTGGGCCTCCAGTAATGAGCAAATGTACTCTGGTCACGCGTGGTCCTGAGGAAGTAGGCTTTTCAGAGCAGGGCCCTGGTGGCAGAGCAGCCCCAGGGTAGTAGGAACAAACCAACCAAGTAAACAGAAGTTGGGGTGGAGAGGTCTCTCTCCTAGCAAAGAACTAGGGCATTGTGAAGAAACTGAGGCACATGTTCAGTCCTCTGGAGAAGACCAACGCATCAGAGACGGGGGTGCCTGAGGTACCATGGGAATGCTCATCCCCAGGGATCTGGCCACACAGATAATCCCAGCCCCCACCAGCCACTGGGCCTGAGGCTCCCCAAACCTCCCTGTGTTACCTCTGCGTCCTCTGACCCGCTCTGTGCCCTGGCTCCTAGGGAGGCCCCATCCAGAACCGCAAGTCCAAGCGCTGCCTGGAGCTTCAGGAGAACAGCGAGCTGGAGTTCGGCTTCCAGCTGGTGCTGCAGAAGTGCTCGGGCCAGCACTGGAGCATCACCAACGTCCTGAGGAGCTTGGCGTCCTGACCGCCCGGCGCCGCCGGCCGCCCCTTTGCTACCGTGTAGCACATGCTGCGACGCTGCCTGCTGTCTGCGTGGGGTTGATTGGAGTCCGGGGAGCCAGGTTGGTGGGCCCCCAACACGAGCTTTTTATTCCCTATTCAATTTTCATGGAGTTTATAGCAAGACGCCGAATGGTAGGTGAGGGTATAATTATCATAAACTATTTTACAGCTGTAAATAGGGGACAAATGGAAAATATTTATAACTGACAATAAAATATGATTGATTAAGAAAAGGGTTTTGCAGTCCTTTGGCACTCTGTGGTGATTCATGCCTGGCTCCTCTGAATCTGGGGTTCTTTAGCCAAAGATGTGTCCCCGTGTGCCCTTCCTGCTTCCCATCCCCGAGACGAGGCGGTAAAGCCCTGGAAGCGGCAGGAGCCTGTCGTGCAAGCTTCCAGCTTGCTTTGTTAGGCCCAAGGCAGCAAGAAGGGGGCACCGTGACCTTGGGCCCCAACCCAGAGGGAAGGTCCCCTCTGCCTCTCCCACGGCAGGTGCCTCCTCTGGAAGGCAGCCACAGTTCTTCTTCCTGGAGAAACTGAGACAGCCCGTTGGCCACTAAAGTGTCACATGCTGGGCTTCAGGCTACACAGACCCCTCCCAAAGTCACCAGGTCACCCCCTTGACCTCCCGAAGCCGTCACTGCCCAGCCCCTCAGCAGTGACACTTGCCTGTGTCCAGTTGCTAAGACCAGTTTGGCTCCTTCCATGAACTGGGCTGTGTGGTTTCCTGTGGCAGCTGTAACAAATGCCGCACACTGGATGGCTTACGCAACCAAAAATTATTGTCGCACAGTTTGGGAGGCTGGTTCCTTCTGAGGGATGTGAGGGGGGATCTGTTCCAGGCCTTTCTCCCAGCTCTGGCAGCCGCAGGGGTTCCTTGGCATGCACGTGGGCATTGTCCCCTGCATCCGCACATGGTCTTCCCTCTTTGTCTCTGTGTCCAAATTTCCTGTCTTTATAAGGACACCAGTAATATTGTAGTGAGGCCAACCCTAATGACCTCATTTAACTAGATTACCTCCATAAAGACTCTATTTTTAAATAAGATCACATTCTGAGGTGCGGGGGGTGAGGATTTTGCCATATTTTTTAGGGGGGAACACAGTTCAACCCCTGACCTCTGGCTGACTCAGGTGTGGCTCCAGGTCAGCCCCTCTGGGCCCAGTCTCAGGAGACTGGTGGCCCTCACAGGGGAATCATCTTTCCTGAGGCCTGTTGCTACACCCTCATCCCCCCAACACCTCCAGCCAAATGTTCCGAGCTGCAGTCCAAAGAGCCCTTCCTGGCTAGGGCTCCTGTTTTTAGTTTGAAGAACCCCAGGCCCACCCAGTCCCACCTCCAACTCCCTCACCTGCAGCTAAGCAAGAAATAGGCGCTAAGACTGAGGAGGGACAGGACCTCCTGTCCCTGAGACCAAGCATAGGTGCTAACACTAAGGAGGGACAGGAAGCCCTTTCTGGACAGGTTGCAGCCCCTCCCCAAGTCCTCTGGGACTTCTCTCCCAGGGGCCTCCAGCGCAGGCAGTCTACCTATTTGGCATCAGTCATTTATAGGTGCAAATGGATGAACACAGAGAATCCTCCTCCTGCACCTGCGGGACCCCAGGGGAGGAGAGGCCTGTTGACTCGGCCACACCTGCACACCCAGAAGCCCATGCAGCCTGGGATCCACCTGGAGGGCCACCTGGGGCTTCCCAGGCCACTGCCATAGATGCTCCTTTAAGTTTGCATTTAACTCCCCAAAGAGCCTCTCAGGCCCCACTGCAGGCCAACGAGAGGACACCCAGCCATTTCCCAGGCCAGTCAAATCTGACGGCCACCACCTGGGAGGTCAACATGGGAGGCAGGACCCTCGATAGGCAAGAGAGGCTCCCACAGGGCGCTGCCTTTGCCACTGGAGCCAGGGTTCCAATCTCCTTACACCCCTGCTAAACTCAGCTATACTCGTCCCGTGATCCTTCCGAGGGTCGTCTCCCGCTGGCTGCACCCGTCCCGCACTTCTGCATTCGCTCTCTGCTCTAGTCTACCCACCTCTTTCTTCACCTCCAAACCACCAGTTCCATTCTTTATCATTGCTCTTGTGTCATGCCCTACACTAGTGTTCCCAAAGTCCAGTCCCCAAACCAGCAGCAGTGGCATCACTTGAGAATTTACTAGAAACACAATACTGGAGCCCCAACCCAGACCTCCAGAATCAGAAATGATCCATGGTCTGGCAAGCCCTCCATCCAGGTGATGCTGACGCCCCACCGCAGGCTGAGACCCACCACCAGGCAGCACCCCGGCTGGGCCGCACGCGCCCTCCCTCCTGTGCCTCCATCTTCAGCAAGCTCTCGCTGCTCTACCCACTCGCCACCTCTGCTCCACACCTGCGGCCACCTGCATGCACACCACTACCCCCACACCATGTCCCTGGAGTAGAGAAGGATTGAGAGTGGGCTCTGGAGCCAGACAGCCTGGGTTCCAGTCCCAGCCCTGCCACTCACCAGCAGGGTGATATTGAGCAGCTTTGTCCTTCTGATACCTCTCCTTAAAAAGTGAGGACACTGATATCTTTTATGGGGTTATGAAAATTAAATGAATAAATGTATATAAAATACATAGGACAGTGAGGGGTATGTAATAAGCATTATAAAGTCTCAACTCTTATCACTTCATCCATTGACATCCTGACACCCAGTTGCTGTCACTGATATCCACACCTCTATACCAGTCTACACCCACGCTTGGCCATGACCATCAACATCCTTATCTCACCCCACCTGTGCTAACACCCACCCGTGTCTGCGCCACCTGCCTGGAGGCACCTGTTCTCATTGCTGCCTATACCCACACCCCTACAAATGCCACTCTACAACTTGTCCTCCTACCAGTGCACCCCAACATCACCCCGCTCCCGACGGCACCAACATGGAGCAAACTCAAGAATGGTGCTCTCCCCACAAGCTAGCCTGGGGGCAGTTAAGACAAGAAAGGAGAGCAGCTCCCTCTGGGAGCCACTCGCCATCTCCCTGGGCCCAGGTGGCCCTTGAGGGCCCTGACCCCCTGGGAGTGGGAACCGTGTAGTCAGGCAGGATACCCGTGTCTCAGAGGTACTAAGGTAAGAAGCCAGGTGGGCAGGAGAGGCAGGAGGTCAGAGGATAAGGGAGGGAGGAGGCTGAGGAGGCCCAGCCTACATCCAGCCTCACCCCAGCCCAGCCCCTGCTGGCCACTCATTAGCAGCTGTTTAGGGGCTCTCTCAACACCCTGGAGTGGAATCATTATTTGTCTTAATGATTCGCACATTAAACAACTGTGTTCGCTGTTTCCGCTGCTGTTGCTGATGCCGGAAAGGACTGTTTTAGCCTGGGCCATCCAGCTCCCCGACTCAGCCCCCCGCCCTCACCCAGTCCCTGCCGTGGTCCCCTCTGTCATGACAAATGAAGGAAGAGGTCGGGCTCCTCGCTCCCCACAAGATGGACACAAGTGTGGACTGCATCAATGCAGAAGCCGTAACACTCTGGCCATATCCTGGCCTGCCCCAAAGGTCACTGCCACATCCCTACAGCTCCTCCGGCCGCCTGCATCACTGCCTGAGGCCCTTCTCTGGCCACTGGCACCTGCTCAGCCTGTGCAAGGGCAGACCGGAGGTGTCAGAGAGTTTCAGCCCTGGGAACAGCCCCCAGCCAGCGAGGGATGGGCCTCCTCACCCTGCAGGACAGCACGTGTGAGGCCTGATCCCTGGTCTCCCCCAGCCCGGGCAGGACTTAGCCCCAGTTGCTGCTGAAAGCTCTTTGCCTTTGCTCCCTCCCCTGTCTCGTGTCCCCACGTCCTCTCTGCTCGCCGCACCACCTCCCAAACACTTGTCTCTGGGTCTGCTTCTGGGAGAAGCAGCTCATGCCCACCGCACCCCCTGCATGATGGCCCCGCCCACAGCCCTCCTGCACCTGGACACCAGCGATGCCCAGGCCCACATCTGCACCCCAGGCCTCTCCTCCGAGCCCCAGGCCTGACCTCCCACTGTGACAGGCCCTGGAGAGGTGTGTGTGACCATCCCACAGACCACACCGACCTGAGCTGCAGCCCAGGCCATCCCAGAGAGCACCCCTCCGCCAGAGACTCCCTGTGCCCCCAGTCCTCCCGCCCTCGTGCTCCCACCTGCTTGTTGCTCAGTTCATCGCAGCAGTGATGCCTCCTGAACAGCTCTGGAATCTTCCCTGAGCCTCTTCAGTGCTCCCGTGGACACGGTCTCCCCACCCCATCTGGCCTCCACGCTGCGACAGTCACAGGGGTCTTCCTGAAATATAAATATGGTCAAACTCACTGTGCGCCTAAAGCCTACAGTGGGTCTCAGCAAAGATTTTAAGTGACAAGCTCAAGCACCAGCCTCACATCTTCCGCCGCCAGTGAGTCCAGAGACCCATGGCTGGAAGCCCCCAGCCAGGAACCTCAGGTGCTTGGGGCTGGCGGTGGGTGAGAGGAGGCCTGGGGTCCTGGCTGCCAGGCTCACTGGGCATCTGCAGCCCAGCCCACTGCCCCAGCGGTGGTGGTGTCCCACGTTGTCTCTCCCTTTTCCAGGAACTCTATCTTGGGTGGGGGTGTTTGCTAGGGCTGCTGGCATTGTGCCACAGATGGGACGCTTACCTAATAGAAGGATATCGTCTCATGGCTCTGGAGGCGGGAAGTCTAAGTCAAGGTGTCAGCAGGGGTGTTCCTCCTGAGAACTGTGAGGGAAGGGTATGTTCCACACCCTCTCCTTGACTTGCAGGTGGCATCTTCTTCCTGTGTCCCTTTACATTGTCTTCTTTATATTTTCCTTCTGTTTCCTCCTTTCTTTCTGTTTCCAAATCTCTTCTGCTTATAAGGCCACCAGTCCTTAAGATCCACACAAATGACCTCGTATTAACTTCATTACCTCTGCAAATATCAAATAAGGGCACATTCTGACGTACCTAGGTTGTTACCTAAATGTTTAAGTAGACACAATTCAACCCATAACAGGGAGGCAGAAGAGGGGTGGTGAGGAGCAGACCCAAGGCCCCAGGAGGCTGCCTACACTCACATCCTCCTTGCTCGGGCAAGTCCTGCCTTGCTGGGGGACAGCCCCAGTTGTCCTGGTTTCTGCTGAGTAAGGATGGGCACTGCGTAGTGACAGAGAATTTTTACATAAGTACCCGAGGTGTTCATCGTTGTCCTCCATGCTCACATCCCTGTGTAAGGAAAACTGCCCCAACCTCAGTCCCAGCTGTGACGCTGCTTGTACATGGCCACAGTCTCTTCCCTCCATAGCCAACCCAACCTGACCTGGGGCAGGTAGCTGCAGGCTGGCCAGGGATTGATGATTCAGCACAAAAGGATGAACTGGGTCAGACTCTGCCTGTCAATTTGCACCATGATGCACATAAAGCATCAGCCAGTTATTGACGAAGGCCAGGAGCCTCAGCCAGGCGCAGAGACACACCACGGGATGGAGCCAGCCCCAGAGGCCAAGCAAGCCAGAGCCTCATGCAGGCTGAGGTCATGCCAGAAAAACCATACCCGAGCAGAGAAGAGAAGGGAGCTGCTGAGCAAAACGCAGCAGGCAGGCCCTTGAGCTGCCTGTCCCATCCCAACCCCAGCCCCATACACCCTGGTGGGTTTCCTTTTCCGTAAGCTGGCTGAGTGGCTCCCCGCCCTTCACAACACACAAGACTGATGGAAGCAGATATAAAGATTTTAGGTATCAGGACCTACCCATGCGCAGCCCCTCACTTGTGTGTGAACACACACACAATCCCTGCAACTGCTGTGCATGGGTACAACTGAAGTGTACACATTTGCACTGCGTACACATACATGCATGGACTTAGCCACTCATATACATGTGTGCACATGCCTGCAGTATGCCGGACATAACATGGATAGATACATACACGTTCACATTGACCCCAAAGAGAAAGGGATCTCAGCTCTCCCACAATCTGCTTTTATAAGAATAGGCTGCCTCCGCATGGCCCTTGTGAAGCAGAGGCTATTGGAAATTAGAGCTCTTTTATTCTCCTCATTTCTAATCACAGGCAAGTGAAGCAAGGGAGTTCTGAGGCAAGACAGAGCGATTGACTCTCTGGCCTTCAGACTCCACATTTGTTTGCTTTTTTTCATGGTCACAACAGCCCAAAGCCCAGGAAAACAAACACAGAGTCACACAAAAATGTGTCATCGCTCAGCCATGCTACATCTGCTGCCTTCAGCTCCAAATAGGAGGGGGGGAATGAGGTAGACACCCTTGGCCACATTCAGCACCTGACCCCAACACCCTCAAGTCCCACCGCCCTGCTCCCAGTCTCTCTCCACCCACAGGCAGGAATTTTATCCTTCCTTGGTGTTTTGGCAACGAGATTGGACCCAGGGAGGCATTAGCCCTGATACAGGTATGTTTTTTACATTATAAGGTACAGCTGCACTATGGAAACTAGGTCTTAAAGATTGTCACCACATAATGTCTCTGTGTCTCTGTTCACCCTCCCCCACCCCCGTTGCTATGTGCAGAGGAGGGGAACCAACCTATGTTCTCTGCAAGCAAGAACCGGTGTCCAGGGCCGGCTTTATGGGCACGAGGCATGAGGCCCCAAGCTCAGAGGCCTCCCTGCTCAGCTTAGTTTAATGCTCTGCTCTCACCACCTTGAAATTCTTAATAACTTCCAAACAAGAGGCCGTATATTTTTATTTTGCACTAGACCCAGCGAATTACATATCTGATCCTGCCTGTGACACAGCACTTTCATAGAAAGCCCCCAGAACACAGCCCACAGCACAGAACCTTCTCCCAGAAGGGACTGCCCCTGGTAACAGAGGCAGCTGAGGACACCCCTCTGCCTTGTAGGAACTGCTGCCTGGCAAAGTGGGGGCCTTTGTGGGAGGTAGCAGAAAACTACTTCTGCGTCTACTGTCAGATATTCCTCCAAAGCCTCCCTTTGGCCAAACCCACCGGTGGCAGAGGGCGGCGGAGCGCTGATGCTGTCTGTAGTGGTCAGCACTGCACAGGCCAGAGGGGAGCGAGAGTGAGAGTCCCTGGCACACTCACCCCTGCCCTGCCCTGGTCTGCACATCCCAGGCCACCTAACCATGCCCTCTTCCTGTCTTCCCTCCCCCAGTCCCCGCACACCTCTCACATGGAACTACCACATACTTGCACGTTTATTCCTTTTATTGATACAAAACAGAGAAGAGAAAGGAGAGAAGTCTCCCCGCTTGCGGCACGAGTCCCTGGGAACTCCATCAGCACTGCCTCCTTCTGCTGATTCCTCTGGGCCCACCAAGACCCAGACCCCCTCCCACAGGCTCAGACTGTCCGGTCTCTGAGGAGGTGGTCTTGGGCAGCCTCAGCACCACCAGTGTGTGGACACCTGGGACCGGTTTTTTTGTTTTGTTTTGTTTTTTTTTGAGACAGAGTCTCACTTTTGTTGCCTAGGCTAGAGTGAGTGCCGTGGCATCAGCCTAGCTCACAGCAACCTCAAACTCCTGGGCTCAAGCGATCCTCCTGCCTCAGCCTCCCAAGTAGCTGGGACTACAGACATGCACCACCATGCCCGGCTAATTTTTTATATATATACTTTTAGTTGGTCAATTAATTTCTTTCTATTTTTAGTAGAGACAGGGTCTCGCTCAGGCTGGTTTCAAACTCCTGACCTCGAGCAATCCGCCCGCCTCGGCCTCCCAGAGTGCCTCCACCGCGCCCAGCCTGGGACCAGTTTTGATGCCCCAGATGAGCTTAGGGTGAGCCTTGACCTCGTAGCCTTGGGAGAGCACACAGATCCCACCCAGCTGAGGACACTCGGTTGGTCCTGGTGGCCTGGAGTGCTGCTCTGGGGGCGATTCTGAGGGTCTGGCTCCCACAGGCCAAGAGTAGCAGAGTGGACGAGCAGGAGGTGGGCGCAGTGTGCACGTGCTTTACATATTCCGCCTTTCCATCCTGCCCTTCCCACCCCACCCCATCATGCTGGCTCAGGAAGTCCTCCTCCCAGCTGCGACTGACTCTCCCCACGGCCCCCATCCCCCTGGGTTGGTGCTCCGGAGCCCCTCATTGCTGGGGAGCTACCACCAAGGGGCCACCTAGTCCTCATTGCCATGCCTGCTCCATAGACACTAACCTTCCGTCATTGCTGCCACCTGTCCAGGCTACACTGACTCTCCAGCTGCATTTGGGCATTGGCCTCTGCTGTCTGCTCACCTGCTGAGCCCACCTGGATCATGATTGGTGTCTGGGGGAGGAAGGTCCTAAAAATGACAATAATAACAAACATTTATTGTTTAGTTCTATGACCAGCACTGAGGAAAGTACTTTCCATTTATTTTTTCATTTGATATTCATTATAATCTTATCACATGGTGCTAATATTATTATCTGTATTTACAGTGGAGAAAACCAAGGCACAGAGAGGCCAAATAATTCTATAAGGACTTGTAAGTAACAGAGGTTGGATTTGAACCGAGCGAGGCTGACTATAGAGGCTGCCTTCTTAGCCTCTACTGCACTATTCTGCCTCCCTGCCAGGCCTAGGAACCCCACAGAACCTCATGCTCTATGCTTCCATTGATACCACAGTGCCTCACCCTGAGGTTCTACCTGGGCCAAAGCATAAGTCACAACTAACACCTGTAGAAGCTCCAGCCTGGCCTAGTAATGCCTTATGAACACTCTTGACTCAGGTTACCCCACAAGGTAAGTACCAGTACTAGCATCATTTTACAGATGAAGAAACTGAGGCACGGAGGTTAAATAGCTTGCCCAAGATCATACAGCTGAGCAAGTGGTAGTAGCCAGAATTTGAAGCCAGGCCCCCTGTTGCCAGTGTGTGGTCTTAACCACTGTGTCCTCCTTCCTCCTGGCAGCCTGACTTGCTGCAGGACCCCCAGGCCAGGGCCTCTGGGGCCACCTCCGCAGGCCTCATGCGCTACCAGGGCTGGAAGCACCACCCCCTGTTTCAGTTCTCTAGTGAGGCCGCCCTTCCAAACGTGACCACGGTGGGAATGTGATTAATGAGCCAATTATTTCTGTGGAAGACATCGTACAAAATAAATAGCCCATTTCCCTTCAATTTACTGTTTTAATAAATAAATAGCGCTCCATGCTCTGGCTTTGTTTATTGCTGCTCATACCTGAAAGTTTGTGATGAATCTTCTTGTTGTTCATTTCCAAAATTAATCAGATCTGCCTGATGACTTTGAAATATGCGACTGCATTTGTCCTTCGATGTTAACATCACAGACAGCCGGGAGGGCCGCGGGGAAAGGCGGGCCTGGGGGAAGGGTGAGTGGAGGGCGGGATGCCCGGAGCTCTGGACACGGGGCTCGGAGGCCCGAGCGCCCGCACTCGGGAAGTGTGCGCAGGGAGGCTCAGCATTTGATTTATGGTTCAAGGAAAACCACTAGGAGTGATAAGGGGAGTCGGAGGAACAGAAACTTCTCTTTCCTCTGCTTAAACCTTTGGCAGATTGGCCAAACTGGGGACATTAAATAAAAAGAGTCTTCCGAACTCCACGGAATGGGCCAAGCTCAAAAACACCTTTCCCTCCTCTCCAGGGATTGTGGTGGTTGCAGAGTCATTTATTCCACAGGCTCTTTTGTAGATCCCTGCATGTGGGCACAAAGGAAAACAGCAGAAGGCCAGGTGAGTGTTACAAGGTGCTCACCGTCTGCAAGGGTGTCTCGGGGGAATGGCAGATCATCGCTGTGCAGTGTGACCAGAAGTAAACGAAACTCCATGATCAAATGTCTGTGATGCGCGTTTATAGTCCACACAGTTTGACATACATCTTAAGCCTCACAGTAGCTCATGAGTTAAATATTAAGTACCCATTTTACAGATGAGGAAAGGACGGTGTTCAGATGGGGTCTCAGAGCTAGTAAGTGAAAGTGAAATAGTTCATATTTAGGTTTTCAGACTCCAAAACCAGTGTTATTGTTGTTTTCATTTAGAATATAGGTATTCTCTCTCTCTCTCTCTCTCTCTCTCTCTCTCTCTCTCTCTCTCTCTCTGTGTGTGTGTGTGTGTGTGTGTGTGTGTGTGTGTGTAATCTGGTTTGGGATAGTCAGAGAAAGCTACAGAGAAGAGGTGGTGATTATAACCTGGGTTCTGATGGGTGAATAAGAGTTTTCTGGACTGAAGTGGCAGGAAAATGACATGTCAGCTAGAAAGAAGAGTTAGGTCTAACTTAATGGTATGGGAAAGGTGAGGAAATAAAACAAATTCTCAAACATGGTGAGCAACTGGGTGTGAGGGGTGAGAGGGAGAAAAGTCCATGATTAGGACACAGTCACTGCCCTTCCCTGGCGTCTCTGGCAGTGAGGGATCTGGCTCCCGTCTGCCCCTAACCTTCCCTTGACTCTCTCCTTTCCAGCCCCAGGATGCTGGCCCATGCCCCAAGGAGGCTGCAGTGGGCAGGCTGTCAGGTGAACCAGACCTCTCTGGTGTGTTAGGAGCAGAAAAAGCCAATGACAAACCTAGCAGCGGGCCATGTTTCCATTCATCCATGCTTTATAAAACTTCCTCTGGGCTTGAGAGGAAAACATGCAAATATCCAAGTTAACCCTTTGTAGGCATCCAACCCTCGGTCCTCAGACCCCCCTCTGGGACACTGTCCCCTCCTGCAATCTGTGCGAGGAGACATGTTGTAGATCCCCACCCCAAATGTCCAGAATTTAAAAGAAGGCCACATCCCACACAGCCCGGTTATCATCGCAGCCCCCTCACCTGTCTCCCCGCGCTGGCCCTGACCCCCTTCCCCCAGCGTTTCTCATCACGTGACCCCCACCCCACCCCTATCCCCAACTTGGGCCACCGAGTGTAGGAAAAACGCAGATTCGGGGCCCTCTGCTCCACAGCTACCCAATCCAGACGGCCCAGAGAACACTACCTACTTACTCCTTTGGGATCCAGCTTCAAAACCACCTGCTCTGATGGTGTCCCCGAGTGTCCTGGGCCACGCCGGTGCCCCCTTCCCTGCTACTCTGTGCTTGGTCACCCGCCTGTCTGTCTGCCCCACCAGCCCAAGAGCTCTGTGCAGCAGTCACCCCGTCGTCCTCGGCAGCGCCCCCACACCCACTCCAGCGCAGGGACGAGGGCAGGCAAACCCCAGGAAGGGAGGAAGGGAATGGCGTGAGCCTGTGCGGCTCTTCCTTCCCAGTGGGTGACGATTCAGACCAATTCTCCCCACCATAGACTCAGCCTCTGAGTGTTAGGACGACCCTGTGCTGCAGCCTTGACTCCCACTTCAGTCCAGAAAACTCTTACTCACCCATCAGAACCCAGACATGGAGCCAGGTAGGTGATTCCTAGTGAACAGCGCATTCCCACTGCGGCCACTGCCTTGCTAGGTCTGGGCCCGGACCCTCCGTTGGCCTTGCCTGGCCCCTCTCCCTTGGGGCTGGACATTAGGTCTGGCTGCAGGATAATCCTCCCCTGGGACTCTGCTCCCACATCAACCCGTCCTTAAAACCTTGGAACTCCCACACTCTGTAAATAAACAAAGCCCGATATCAGCTTGCCCCGGTGAGAGTGTGTGTGTGTGTGTGTGTGCGCGTGTATGTGTACAGGGCAGACATGAAGTATGTTTGTGAGTGCGGGGTGGTATGCTTGCTTGTGCACATGAATTTGTATGTTTGTAAATATGTTTGTGTGCATGTATGTATAGCCATGGTTTTGTATGTGCATATACACAAGCTACCTTTTTTTACATTGGTGTGACCAGGCCTGTTTTTATTCCCTATTATATTTATTTTATCCTATCACACAGTTCTTTGAAGAGTCCCCACAGATGTCTTGAAATCATTATTTCCCTGTAGTGTCCTTCCTACGAGGCTCTGAGACCCTCGAGGGTGGAGACACTACAGGATTCGTCTTCCTACCCCTGGCTTCGAGCACAGTGGGCGGCAGGCACACATGCGCCCACGCTTTCACTCATCCGGCGCATGTGTCCCGCTCTCCCTCTGTGTGCCGCGTGCTGGGCAAGCACCAGCGAACAAAAACAGACACAGGCACTGCCCTCGTGGAGCTGCCAGTCTGGTGGGAAAGACAAATATTAATGAAATCATTAAACAAACAATGTAAAACTGCGACTGTTGTAAGTACTGAGAAAGAGACACGCGCAGATTCTCGGAGTACAGAGGACAGAGCAAACTGTCAGGGAAAGGAGAAGCCGATTCCCAGGAGGTGAGCGGGAGCGGATGTGCGCAGGAGAAGGGAGAACTGGAGGAGGGAGCAACGTCCTCCGTCCTGGAGAAACAGGAGGGCCTGTGAGGAGGCTGGTGTAGGGGCGCAGGGAGAGGGGGGCCGCAGGGAGAGGGGGGGCGCAGGGAGAGGGAGGGCGCAGGGAGAGGGAGGGCGCAGGGGGAAAGACAGGGCGGAGGCGGTGGAGCCCTCCCACGCGGGCCCTTTCTGAGCTGGGCTCAACACGGAGTCTTTCTCCTAAAGAGCCAGGTAAGCCAGGGAAAGTTGTGAGGGGGCAGATGGCGGGATCAGTCGGACGTGGCTGCCAGAGAGATCCGACTAGACGAAGGCAGACCCATCGTGGCTAGGTCAGGTAGAGGGCGGAACGGTGGGAGCTTGGACTGGGGTCATGGTGGCGAAGAAGGAGAGAAGAAGTTCCAGAGACGCGGAGGAGATGAGGTAGGTGGATCATGGTAGTGGCTTGAATAAGGAACATGAGGAAGACAGAGGAGCTGAGGATGGAAAGAGGCACCTTCTCTGTTACCGGGAACACCTCAAAAGGACCAGATTGGGAGGCAAGACCCTGAACTCCGTCTTAAACCCACTGAGTTGGAGGCCCTTTGAGAAATCCAGATGAGCTGTCAGAAGAATCTGACAGTAGGATATGTGGGTCTGGAGTGTGCACATGGAAGGGGATTAATAATTGTGTCCCAAATTGATGTCCCCAGCTTCTCACTGCTTTCCACCATTTCTTTTCATCAAGAGAGAATGATGGTTCTTACAAAATTTAGAAATAGACATGACTAACCTTGGATAGAGGCATCGAGAATGAGAAGGCTCTATAAACCCAAGTCATTACCAGCTGCCAGCTGTACAGAGTTTTACAGCTCACGAGGGGCTCTAACTCATTTGAGCTTCACAGTAACCTGGGATCATAACATCCATTTGAGGTTACATGGCTTGTCCTGAGAAATCACGTATTGGATCAAGTGTAAACTACTTTCTTATTATCATCTGCCTTCTGGAAGGAATGGGACTGCAAAAAGCCTCTCTTATGAGACACACAAATTCAATCCACTTTACATATATCCTTGAGCACAAATAGAAAAGGCAAGGAAGGGGCTGTGAGGCACGTAAGACAGTCCCTGCCCTTGATGAGATCACAGTCTAAGGGACGAGAATCCCAGCTGATTCTATTATAAGAAACAATGCTGCGAACACTACATGAGCCCCTTTTAAATAACGCTTCCCTGATTATAAAAGTAGTAAATGTCTAGTGTAGACACAAGAATAATACAGAGCGTGCAAAAGAGAAAGCATCCATGGTTCACATGGAGGTAAACACGTCATTTTGTTTATTTGTAAAATTTTATAAATCTTATTTAATTTTGGCACATGCATGGAGTGGACTTTTCAGTTACTTACGTCCATAAATTCTCTTCTATGCTTAAGCTGGTTTTCGTTGAAGTTCTATAATTTGCAATCAAAAGAATCTTGACCTATAAGGTTATTTTGAGAATTGAATCAATTAAAATTATGCAAAGTGCTCAACACAATATGGTACCTGGAATATAGGAAGTACTTATTCAACACTAGGTGCTATTTTTCTTATTCAATCTATTAGATGGGTGGGGCCAACCACACAGAAGGCTTTTACACAAAGTACTGAAAAGCTTCCTGGGAGAAAACTGATTTTGAAGGAGGAGAAGTTTCAAGCACAAAAAAAAACTGATTCAGTAAGAAAACCTCAGTCGGCAGGCAGTACAGGCTGGTGGTGTTTGCCAGTCAAAGTGGTCTGCTAGTCAGTTCCATTGTAAGTACAGGCTGCCTGCTCCATGGAACAGTGGGGTGAGACAGAAAGGGAAGGCCAGTAAGTTTCTATAAGTCAATCCACAAGTTTTTGACACCACTCTAGAAGATACTGGGGCACAAAGAACTTAGGGTATCTGCTAACATTCCGTGTTTCCCCAAAAATAAGACAGGGTCTTATATTTACTTTTCCTCAAGAAGACACCCTAGGGCTTTTATTTCAGGGATTGTTTATTTTTTTTAAGTACAGTACAACAATCTACATTTATTCAAATATATTAAGTATCTCTTCTGGAACATCATCATAACTTTCAAACCCGAATTCCATCCTGAATTTCTTGTGACTCTATTTCCTTTAGAACATTGGCCCAGTCTCTCATGTTGAGCAATAGCGCCCTCATTAATGAGCAGCTCTTATCCATGTAACCTGCTCAGAGTGCATTGGTAACAACACTGTCAGTGATTTTATCCCATGAATTCTTCACCCAAATCACGACCTCTTGCAGGCTAGGCTTCACAAAGTTTCCACGCTGATTTCTTGTCATTCTATTTTCAATGTAGTCTGAATGGCTTGTTTATTACAATGTCAAAAGTCTACAGATAGGCAGTCATTCCTGCAGGAATCATTATTTTATTATCCCTGGTGTCTGTGGGGGGTGAGAGAGTCCACAGTGCTGAGTAAAATGGCAGCCACAGCTTTCCTTCTTCTCCCTGGGGACACACAATACTTAGAGCGGAGCTTCCGCTCCTCACTTCACTGAGGAGACTTTCGCCTCAAAGCCTCAGCTTGCAGCAGCACGGGATGGCGGACTGACAGGGGAGGCCGACCTTGTTTGGTGGGCTGCCTGTACTTTCGGGTCACCTCTGGGATAGTAGCGTTATGATGGGGCAGATAGAAGGGCTGCTCGTCTCTTTTACACTCCGCAAGGAAATGGCATGGGTTGTGCAGATACCGCTGCGTAGCCACGCATCACTAGGTCTTATTTTTCCGGGTAGGGCTTATAGTGTCGCAATGCTTAGAATCCTGCTGGGGCTTATTTTATGGGTAGGTCTTATTTTCAGGAAACAGAGTAATCAGCCCAGGAAGGAGGTACTATTCTTTCACAAAAGAACACCAAGACCTTTGTTTATTTTGAGATATCCACACTGAAAGTTCAATCAGACTGCTTTCTTGGAAAAACTCACCCCACAATAAACAAGCTTAATCTCTTTGAGACATGTTTCTCAGCATTTAACATAACAGGCCCTGGGGGACAAAAAAAAAAAATACAGGTTCTGCCTCAAAGTTTAACCCTAAAGGGAAAACAAGTTTTTATCTTATTTATTTGTACCATAAGTATGACCATAAGCATCTGTAGTTTCCTCATATGAAGCTAATGGATCTTCATAAAATTTTAAGCATGGCTAAGCTCATATGCCCCATCTGTTACCCTACTGAGTTAACCAATGGCTCTATGACATGCTGAGAATTGCCATTTGAAGAAGAACTGAACGTGTTAGAGCTGACTCTTGCAGAATTTTTTATCTCTCATGGTGGCCTGCATAGGAGCCAAGGCCATGATGAAACCCATTCAAGTGTTAGAAGCCTTTTTTGGAGATGAACTTGTCGAGCCCTTCTCTCCCAGTGGAGAAATCCCCAGCCTAGCTCATCCCTGTGTCCTGCACTTAGCACCTCTTTGTGGGGTTGGAGGGTCAGGGGGACAGGGGGGACAAATCTGGCCCCTCACTTGTCTGAATCACCTTTCACCTCTTCTCGCCACCAGCAAGAGAATTCGGGTCTCTGCTCTTGTTGACCTTCTCAGCTCTTGGTGCTACCCTGATATGAAGCAGTCCTTCCTCTACGAAAGGCCAGAGCATCACCCCTTAATTCCTTTCAACAGACATCTGACAGCTCTGAGGATAGCTAAATTGTTTTGAGTGTCAGAGGGATAATAGCCTGGTTAGTAGTTAAGAGCATGGATCAAAAAAAGTGTAAGACAACAGTATATACAACTAGGTGATGATACCTTTGAAAAACCTAGGGAAAGTGGACAATTTTTTTTAGCAAAATACAAATTACCTAAATTGACCCAAGAAGAAATCAAAATCCTAAGTGACCACAGGAAAAAATAAAAAGGGTTTTGAAGCACTTTCATTAAAAAAAGCTAAGACCAGATGGTTTAACACCTGAGTTCTTTCTAACCCTTGAAAAAGATAATTTCTGATGTTAAAAAATTCCAAACCACATTAAAAAGTGAGGAGAATAACCATTCATCTTTGGAATGTATATAGCATTAATATTAAAAGTTAGTAAAGACAGTACAAAAAGATAATATGAGAGGCCACTCTTACAGGTGAATATGAATGCAGAAATTGTTAATATTAATGAATAAAAACCAATAAATATACCAAAAAAATTCACTATGACAAAGAAGGAATTATCTGAGGAATGAAACATTGGTCCAATGTAAGAAAATCTATCAAAGTCATCCACTATACCAAAATATTAAAAGATAGCCATATTATTATATAAATAGATGCTGAAAATCATTTAATAAAATTTAGAACATCT